GAGTCCCCAAACAACCCACAGATCTATACATCCCTTGGTGTAAAAGGGGAATATGTCTGGAAGGAAAAAATAATGCTAAAGAAAAGGGGTATTTAAAAAATATATATATTACAGTAGAAAATAAACCATGTAGGGTATTCCCTGGCAGTCCAGTGGTTAGGACTCAGGGCTTCCACTGCCACCGCCTGGGTTCATTCCCTGGTCGGGGAACTAAGATCCCACAAGCCATGCGGTGCTGCCAAACAAACAAAAATATCAAAAGAAAAGAAACCATGTAAGGGCCTATTGCTTAATACAATGATTATAATCAAAATTTTAATAGCCTTTGGATAACTGCTCTTCTGGTAAATTGCTTAGATTATCTAAACAACAGTTCCACGCATTAACTTTTATTAAACGAGAGTAAAAATATCTTATTTTTATAAGATATGCGATTTATTTAAATAGTATTTTACAAACATTTTCAACAACCCTATTGAACAACGGAACATATGTCTGCTGCAGGGGGAAAACTGTAATGAATTATTAGCATGAAGAAAAGTATGGTGAACTTTCCTGGTGGTCCAGTGGTTAAGAATCCATCTTCCAATGCAGGGGATGTGAGTTTGATCCCTGGTTGGGTAACTAATATCCCACATGCCGTGGGGCAAATAAGCCTGCGGGCTCTTGAGCCCGCATGCAGCAACGAAGAACCCGCGCTCCGCAACTAAAACCAACGCAGCCAAATAAATACATTTTTTTTAAAAAGGAAAAGAAAACTATGGTGTATCCTAACCAAGAAATCAGGAGTTTCGGGAGTAAACATTCAGTGTTTTATTAAAGCGTCTGACTCCAGTTTTTGATGCTTGATTACTGACACCTTCTAAGTCTCACAACCTCTTCCTATTCTGCATCTCTGGGCAAGATGATAAGGAAGCCTGATGGATCCCTCCTGTGATGCAAACTGGTAGTTCAATCCATATGCATATCCTCCAACAAGCCTCAAACAGTGATCACGTTAACAAACCAAGCCAGTGACCATTCCCTGTTGTCTCAAATCATTTTTTGAACAACTTAGAAGCCTCCCCTGTCCCCCTAGAAACCAAAATAATGTAACACACATTCTCGTAACACTTCAACGTTAATATCAATCTAAATGACCTTTAGTGGGGTCCCACCTTTTTCCACTGAATGGCTACAATTACAATTAGCAACAACAAAAAATATTTGGGGAGTGAATGTATGAAATTTCAAGTTTATCTATCAAACAAAAAAATTCCCATTGTACATTGTTCATTTTTAAGAGAAAACTCATGAACATCGATATTTTCAAATTATTTCACTGAGTGATTCAAGCACAAAAGAGAGATTTATGATTTTTAAGTTTTCTAATATTTTGCATATGCGTACTATATTTGTTATTTTCCCGTCATGTCACTCAAGGTGCATGCCTTAGGTTTACCTTGGACACAACAAAGAATATGAAGCACTACGTTCATGTAATGCATACTCATGGATGTGGAGCAGGTTTTAGGGAATGTTCAAAAAAAACAGCCCCAATGTGGAGTCGCTTGCCCCCAGGACAGCAAACCAAGACTTACTTGCAGTTTCACCCCTCCCAGGAATGTGACCTTAAATCAATCACTCTGGAATTTCCTGAACAACACTACAGATGTACCCTACAGGATAAGACCTTTGCAATCCCTCCCCCAGCAAAAGGTAACCTTGCCAAAAAAACTTTTTTCTTTTGGAAATATCTTTCTTATCCTGCCTGGTTTCTATTTACAAATGATTTGCATTTTGTACAGCTGCTTTGAGCCCCTCTTTATTTACTGATACTAGATGGGATGCACACTGATTCACAAATCACTCATGAAAGCCAGTTAGTTCTTTCAATTTACTTGGTTCAATTTTTGTTCTTTAATAGAAGGCAGAGTCTGAAATGCACTCCTACGGTATTTTCACTATAGCCGCATAAATATTCTGGAGCAGAGTTTGCAGAGAATAAATCAGATACAAATTATGAATATATAATCCATAAATTGTATGTTGTTTGATTCCATCAGGGAAAGAAATTTTTACAGATTCTTTCAACCCTGAGAGCCTAATGATGCAATGCTAGCTTCTGTTATAAAGTATTAAGGTGGAATAAAACTGTGTTGGTGGAAGAAACATGATTCATCCAAGGTTAAGAAAAATGATTGATTTTATTAATTAAAGAACACCTATTTTAATTGATTCAGAATTAAACCAAAGCAAAATGTAATGGCAACAGTCAAATGTAAATCATACACATGCACATACTGTTTTTCTCTCACGCTAACTGCTCTTTCAAGTTCCAAGAAGAAAGCTAATTTTTCATTAAACATACATATATACAACAGCTATTCCCATTCATTGCAAAAAGTGATCAGCTTTTCCTTTGTACTGTTTCTACCACATAATCAGCCCCTAGGAACCTGTCACTCTCCATCCTTAATGTCCCTTCTGCTCTGTTCACGGCCAGTTGGCAGACCATTCTGTGCTGTAACCTGTAATGGCCTACCTACAGAAGGGCCTGAACATAGTAAGCATGATTAGTCATGTCAGTTTTACACTATTCACTGCCACCCCCCAACTAATGCTAATTCACACGCTACTGAATTTGATAATAACGGGTCCCACTTTTACCAGCCCCCTCATCTTATTGACTCTTTCCCAGAGACCATTCTGAAAGTCCTGTAGTTAAGGCATAAAATGAACAGACTTCAAACTTCAGGCTGAAAGGCATTAAGAACAACATAGCCTTTTCAAGAAAAGACAAATAAATATTTATACACTGAAGATAACGGGCCATTTCCACACATGTCCTTCTTCCTGTCATACACATCATGTCATACGTTTTACCATACGTGACTTGTAATTATTCTGTTGTATGCAATATCTCAGATTACTCTCAAAGAACTAAAGACATTTGTTTCTAGTACGGATTCTCTGATACAGTCTGTTGTCAGAAGGGCTCAAAAAGTTTCCATATCATTACACCAAAGGTGTTGATACTTGATGAAAACCTTTACATTTCTTGCCACACACATTACATTTGTGTGGTTTCCTTCCAGGATAAGTATTTTGATATCTAGTGATGAATGAGCAATAATTTGAAGCCTTGCAATACTCACTGAATGTTCAAGTATGAAGTATTTGGTGAACACTCAGTTTAAGGCACAACACAAAAGCTTTGACACATTCATTACATCTGGAATGTCCTGTCCAGTATAGATTATCTGATGACTGGTGAGACGTGAGCCCTGAGTAAAGGTTTTTCCCATTCATGGCATTTGTGAGGTAGTCTCCAGAATGAATTCTTTGGTGAATGAATTTCTTCTCGAAAGGCCTGGTCATACTAAATACGTTTATCTGATTCTTTCCAGCGTGATTTTTCCAATGAAGCGTAACATGTGGACACCTGCTAAAACCCTCACTTAAAGTCTCTCACCAGTATGGATTACCTGATGGTAAGGTAGGACTGAAAGTAAACTGAAGGATATGCCATGCATTATATTTGAAAGATTTCTCTCCAGTATAAATTCTTCGGTGGATATTAAGGTATGAATTCTGACTAAAGACTTTGAGACACTCATTACATTTCTATGATTTCTGTCTAGCACGGATTATCCAATCATAGGTAAGGCTTTGCCACACTGAAGACATTTGCATGATTTCTACCACTATGAATCTCCCATGAACTTAAAGTGTCAATTTTCAAGGAAGTCCTTCCCACCTATATTACATTAATATGGTTTCCCCTCTGTATTTATTACCTAATGTGTAGTGAGGGTTGAAATCTGAGTGAAGGATTTTCAGCACTCAATATTTTTGAAAGGTTTCTCTACAGCATGTATTCTACAATGAGTTGCAAGCAGTGAATTTTGACTAAAGACCTTACCACATTAATTACATTTATAAGGTTTTTTTTCCAGTATGTATTCTCTGATGCTTTGCAAGGGTTGGATTTTGACTAAATACCTTGCCACACTCATTACATTTGTAAGGTTTCTCTCCAGTATGAATCCTGTGATGAATCCTGAGGTGTGAATTTTGAGTAAAGACCTTGCCACAGACATTACATTTATACGGTCTCTCTCGAGTATGAATTCTCTTATGACCTACAAGGTGTGAATTACGACAAAAGCCTTTGGCACAAAAATCACATTTATATGGTTTTGCTCCGGTATGGATCACCTGATGTCGCCTGAGGGCTGACTTATCATTAAAGCTTTTGCCACACTCATTACATTTGTAAGGTTTCTCTCCAGTATGAATCCTCTGATGTCTTGCAAGATATGAATTTTGACTAAAGACTCTGCCACATACATCACACTTATATAACTTCTCTTCTGTGTGGATTAACTGATGTCTACTGAGTTTCGATCTGTAATTAAAAGTCTTGCCACACTCATTACATACGTAAGGTTTCTCTCCAATATGATCTCTCTGATGAATTGCAAGGTCTGAATTTCGACTATAAACTTTGTCACATACATCACATTTATATAATTTCTCTCCTGTATGGATTATCTGATGTCGAGTGAGGGTTGAGCTCTGATGAAAGGTTTTGCCACACTCATTACATTTGTAACATTTCTCTCCAGTATGAATTACCTGATGGCTAGCAAGCGATGATTTTTTACTAAAGACTTTGCCACACTCATCACATTTGTAAGGTTCCTCTCCAGTATGAATTCTCTGATGAACTGCAAGGACTGCTTTTTTACGAAAGGCCTTACCACAGTCATTACATTTGTAAGGCTTCTCTCCAGAATGAATTCTATGATGTTTTGCAAGGTATGAACTTAGACTAAAGACTCTGCCACACACATCACATTTATATAATTTTCCTCCTTTATGAATTACCTGATGTTTCCTGAGGTTCGAGCTATGATGAAAGATTTTGCCACACACATTACATTTGTAAGGGTCCTCTCCAGTATGAATTGCCTGATGACATGCAAGCGCTGCTTTCTGACTAAAGACCTGGCCACACTCATTACATTTGTAAGGCTTCTCTCCAGTATGAGTTCTCTGATGAACTGCAAGATTTGAATTTCGACTATAAACTTTGCCACACACATCACATTTATGTAATTTCACTCCTTTATGGATTATCTGATGTCGACTGAGGATTGAGCTGTGATAAAAGGTTTTACCACACTCATTACATTTGTAAGGTTTCTCTCCAGTGTGAATTCTCCGATGACTTGCAAGGGTTCCTTTCCGACTAAAGACCTTCCCACACTCGTTACATTTGTAAGGTTTCTCTCCAGTATGAATTCTCTGATGAAGTGCAAGGATTGAATTTCGATTAAAGACTCTGCCACATACATCACATTTATATGGTTTTGCTCCTGTATGGATTAACTGATGTCTTCTACGATTCGAGTTGTGATTAAATACTTTATCACACACATTACATTTGTAAGGTTTCTCTACAGTATGAATTCTCTGATGAACTGCAAGGTATGATTTGTGACTAAAGACTTTTTCACATATGTCACATTTATAAAACTTCTCTTCTGTATGGATTACCTGATGTCCAGTGATGTGTGAGCCATGATCAAGGGTTTTGCCACACACGTTATGTTTGTAAGATTTCTCTCCAGTATGATTTCTCTGATGAACTGCAAGGTCTGAATTTCGACTAAAAACTTTGCCACATACATCACAATTATGTAATTTTTCTTCTGTATGGATGATCTGATGTCGAGTGCGGTTTGAGACCTGATGAAAGGTTTTGCCAGACTCAATACATTTGTAAGGTTGTTCCCTGTGTGCCCTCTGGTCTTGTGTCAGTACTGAAGGATGCACAAAATCATTCCCATTTGTATCAGAAATGCTTGTTTGGACGACAGGAGAAACTGTCTGAGGTGGTGAAAATGAGGCACTACTGTTGATATTCTTGTCAGCTTGATTAAATTCACCAATTTTTTGTTCACTTTTAAATATATGCAATTCATCCCGAAAGCCTGATGCAAGCCTATTTTCAATAGGCTTAATTCCTGCAACACTCCTACCAAGTCCATCTCTCTTATCAGTAGGATTTTCATTATGGGACATAGCAGTTCCTTTGTAATTTCTTACCTCATCTCTCTGCTGAGACTCAAAGTCAGATATATTTTCCTGGATTCCCCTGAGGTTAAAACGTTTCACTTTATTCCTTTCATGTCTTCCCAACATCACTGTTTGTAATACTTCTCCTCTACCAGTGTTTACTTTTAGTTGTAATTTCTTGATCACGTGTGTCGGAGAGATGTCTAGAAGATAAAAGAACCATAAGTAGCCTATTCATTTTAATTCCTAAATAAATGCTTCATGTTAAATACCTGATATTACAGTAAAACTAACACTTATACCAAAGTTATTAACTTTCCAACAAAGATCTTCAAGTTTTTAGGAACACAAAAGGAATGATTCTTCACTAAAGAAAAAGTGATTAAATTTAGGGTACTGTACTTTCAAACAACGTATGCCAAAAATACTCACATAGGAATAACTTCTGTTAGCTATCAAAGAAAGTGTATATTTCCACCATGATGTATAAGCACACACCAATTCACAGTAAACATACTGCTGTCTCATAGCTGAGGAGAAAAATACATTACACTATGCGTATATTCTGCATACCTATTATTCATAAATAATTGCTAAATAGCAGACAATATGTTGTAACAGTCAGTAATAGAAAACTAGCAGGAATTCCCTGGCGGACCTGTGGTTAGGACGCCGCACTTTCACTACAGAGGGCCCAGGTTCAATCCCTGGTCAGGGAACTAAGATCCCACAAGCTGTGCAGCATGGCCAAAATAAAAGGAAAAAAGAAAACTAGCATATTAATGAATAATCTAAATGAGTTGCAGATAGAATTGGGAAACAAATATAGCATAGAGAAAATGAAGAATTTGATAAAACAACTTTTTAAAAAGCAAAATATTTTTCTCAGTACCTCCTATAAAACTATGTATCCATGAAAAAGCATAAAACATCTAAAAGCCAATCATCTGTAAATCAAAATTAGATATTTATGAATAAAATATTCTCCATTTATATTTACAACCAATTAATGGAGCAATTCCCAACCTATGAAGTGCCCTTTAACATCCAGCTCATTGGCTCCACAATATACATAATAAAGAGTGAGCAAGTGGTAAATTTATTAACTACGGTCAGAAACGACATCGTTGAGACAAATTGCAAAACAAACAAAAGCAGCATACGATATAAAATGCAAAGGGACGTCAATAAACATGACACACTATTACTATATCTTGATATACAAAATTACCTTTTGAGTCTTTACTAAAAACGTGCACTATTCTAAGGCATCTAACAGTAATAATTTCCCTTAAATGGCTTGAAGAAACTTACCACAATTTTTCAAATTAGGACAGAAGACTCACAGTTTTCTGTACATGATCCCAACTGATACAGAAAGTAGTGAGAGAAACAGGATTTGAACCTAGACCTACAGACTAAGACAACATCACTTAAGCATGACTACCCAGACAAGCAGTATAAATTACAAAATATCACAGAAAATTCCAAGAGTTTAAAAAGAAAACTTCAAGGGAGATGCAAGAAGACGTGAGCTGTGTAACTAAAAATGTTGTTCAGGCATCCCTCCTAGAAATGGTTTCTGGTTCATCACTGGAGGTGTCACTCCACCTCATAAGCTCTCTCATTAAGATGCTTCAAAATTAGGTGTAGACGTAGAATGAACGATGGTGCACACACAGGTAACGAAAAATATGGCATCAACAACAATTTACTCGACAGTGTCACAAATATGGGGATGTGAACTTGGACACTTTTCTTAGGAGAAATCCCTATGCCATTTAACTGAGGCTGAAAGGGAATGGTCATTAGCATATACGAAACACTGTCACAGTGCCCTTGAGACACGCCTTTGTGTCACTCCACAAAAGCAGAAAAAAGAATGTGGAAAGGCTAATCGGCCAGGCTCTGATGGTAACCTGGAACATGCTGAACTCTCCACTAAATAGCCTGAAGTGGTGATTCTGTGTGTAGCAGGAAAATGTTACAAGATATGAGGAAAAGTATTCTCTGTAAGAATTTTCTGTTACCCAGTAAACCCACTCCATAGAGAGTCCATCAGAAGTTGTCCATTAACTAAGGGTGGATTATCACAGCAAACAAACTAGAAAAATTTCAGAGCCTTGGACGATGTATTTCAAAAGCGGAGCTACAGAGGCACAATCATACAAACTTAGAGGAGTAGCAAATCAGGAAGAGTACACAGTTCCCAACTAGGTAGCGCAGTACACGAGGGGAAAAAACGCAAGATATGTGTGTCCGATTCTATAGGACCTTCAGACGGAACCATGAGCTTTACCCACAGATGCCAAAGTAAAACCCTGAAACATTCACATATTCACCTCATGAAAGATTGGGGATTAAAAAAAGGATCTCTCTGTCCATTATCTTTACAGTTTTCCTAAGTAAAAGTTACATACGATCCATTCAAACTGGCTGTTACACACATCCTGCAGTTTGTGGCAAAAGCAGAACACAAGAAATGGCTGAGAGATCTAAATAAGCAGACAGGGCCTGAGACAGCTCCATGCAGGTTCTGAGGTGCCAGATGGAGTAAGAGAGCAGCCAGTGTCTCCCATCTTCTGATTACGTATCCTAAAAACATCAAATGTGGACGGAACTGGGAAAGGTTCAGGTATTGAGTCTGGAGGCATCAGCTCTTATCTATATGGACTGAGAACTGAGCTTCCAATAAAATCATGCCCTGAGGGAGAGATGAGGGGGACAGAAACCCCAATAAAACAGCTCGCTTCGGACAACTGGCACTCAATTGAGCGGGAGGCTTTGGGATCACTGGGCAGCAGGGACTCACTTCCAGCCTGCCAGACTCACGGCCTGGTCTCGACCCTCCTGGTGGGCATTTCTCTGCTCAGGGCCGCTGCCAGCCCGGACTGGCAACTTTTCTGCTGAACATCCCTAGGCAAGATACGAGTGCCAGGGAGGGGATGGATTCCTCCCTCCACAAAGCGCCTCCTAGCCCATGCTGGGCATGTTCCAGGAATGGGAACTAGCTTTCAACTTTCACCACAGGCCACCCTTAGCCAGCCGGAGCACACTGAGGAAATTTTACCGTCATATTCAACGCATGAGAAAGCTGACCGTTTTTCCCCCTGCTGCCAACACAACACACAGACATCAATAAATGACACTAATAAAATGTGCTACTATTTAAAAGAGAAACAAAAAACAGCCCGCCTCACACTCCTCAAAGTCAAGCAACAACCAGTTCACGGGAGCCAGATACAGAGTGCTGTAGATCATGATAAAGACTTTGCCTTTGTCTCTGTAGGAGCTGCAGCACCACTGCAGGGTGAAAGAATGCATTTTACATGTTGAAAGAGTGATAAGTTATGGAGTTATGGAGTTATGGAGAAGAAAAACTTCCCTCTGAGAGTTCATAATAATAAACAAACATTGGTACTCTCATAGAACTCTCCAACAGGAGTGTTCAGAGTTTCTCAAACACTACTGTAATAATGAGGCTTCCCCTCAGCCCTTCTGAGATCTGACCTATATTCAAACTTTGATACAACCCCAAAGGCACTCACCTCACTATCTACAGCCTAGGGCTCTTTCTCTTGCTACAAACTGGGTAAAATATTCAGATGAGAAACAGAAATTCCTCCAGTTAAGAACAAAGAAACATGATTAGCTGTGGATTTTCCAGAAACTTAGTTCTTTGTTCACCAGAGGATGGAGGACGTTACCAATGGGTCTAGAAAAATATTTCAAAAATTCATCCACTACTTGCCTCCTTCTGAATACACAGGGAACAGTATAATATGCAGAAACATACTTCTTTTCCTAGAACTCCATAATCAAAAGCCCATGGGTAGAAAATAGGAAAGTGGGTATATCAAAAGCTTGCCGTAACTACATGAGCTCTGGAACAACCCCTGATGCATCATGAAGTGCGCAGATCATCGTAAGAAGAGGTAGGTTTATACTCCTGATGCCATATCATGAAGCGTTTCACATCTGAGTCAACAGGGATTTCATATCAGTCAAGGAAAACCAGCTCAAATGAGGCACACAAAGGAAATGCAAAGATACCAAGGGAAGATCCCTACTTCTAGAGGGATGTTATCCTCACCTAGGGAGAGCAGGTTCCTGTAGGTCTCCAACATCACGTCCCTGTACAAGGCTTGCTGAGCGGGTTCCAGGCATTCCCACTCCTCCTGAGAGAATTCTATGTCAATATCCTTGAATGTCAACTGTTCCTGAAATGAAAATACATTTCACCAAGGGGTCCTGAGGAGAGTTCTTATTTGCACACAAAATGACAACAAGAGAGGGGTAAGGATGAATTCAGTTGAAGTACGTTTTCTGACAAATCCACGTAAAGGTATTTGGAGCAAATTATCAGTCTCTAATTTTAATTTCTTATGCTTTTTCATGAGATTATGATATCTTCCAATTAATGTGGAGTTTTCATTTTTGTGGAAAATATATGAGATACATACAAATAAAATTCAAGAATGGATTGTCTATGCGGAAGTATTACATATTATGTTTTACATACTGAGTGATGCTCAATATCTGGATGAGCTATAGAATGAGTGATGTCTTAAGTCCACAGTGGCTTTAAAAAAAGTCAAAATCTTAAATTATAATGATGACGACAGCAGCAATGACTAACAGTGGTTGAATACTTCCTATATGCAAAAAACTACTCTAAAGGCTTTATAGATGTGAGCTTGTTATCAACCTAACAGCTCTTTACAGTAAGATCTGTTCCCATCTTACAGAGGAGAAAACTGTCAGAGACAGCCTGAGCAACTCAACTGAGGTTAGGAAGCTAAGAAATGACAGAGCAAGCATATGAACTAAGGTGGCTGGGCTCTGCAATTGAAGCTAAAGAAGCAGAAAATTTAGTAACAGAAAGACCAGTGAAAGTACACTGACAGAGAATTCCTGGAGAAACCTTGAAAGGTCGCTACAGATGTGGGCACACACAAAAATGTACATAAAATGTTAGTAATATTATTACTATTTAAACCATTAAGGGAATTCCTTGGCAGTCCAGTGGTTAGGACTCTGCACTTTAATTACCAAGCACCCAAGTTCAATCCCTGGTCATGGAACTAATACCCTGCAAGCCGAGCAGTGTGGCCAAAAAACATTTAAAAATTGAAAGAGAAAACAAAAAACATTAACAGGAGAGTGTAGAAAAAATTCAAGGCCATGGAATATATTTAAGATATCATTTCAACTGAAAAAGATATTTTACGCAGTAATAAAATCATGATGTCCTTTATCAAACCATGCACTTGAACATTCATAAACTCTTGCATAAATATGTAAACACACAATTAACTGAAATGAGAGTTGTCTCTGGACATATTTTTGCATCATTTTTTTCATCATCAATTTTATTCAAGTGAATTTCAGCATCTTTGGGACAATGAAAACGTATCAGCTACAGTAAATGGTACTAACATGAAAACATAGGATACTTGAACTCTGATCTCACTAGATACCTATATTCAAAAATATAAATACAATTTTATCCACTAAAATTGACATATGAAGGTATTAATAAATATAAAACAGAGTTAACTAGAACATTTCACCATACACCATAATCAAAAGAAAACACTTGATGCGTTTCTCTGTAACTACCCTGGAGTGAAGGGGGCTGACTAGGTCTCCTGCCTTTTGCCACGGTACGATGTGCCTGAGTAGAGGCAACTAGAAGAAATAACAGGAAAAACAGAGAACAAGAGTGAGAAAAACAGAGAAAATGAGTCAGAGAGTTGGAACAGTTAACGTTCACAAATCTGAGGAGATGGACAGGCAAAAAGTTAAAGGATGGAAAAAGATAATCCGTCCTAAAGAGAGCACAGGTGACTATATTATACCATACAAAACAAAGACAAAAACTGACATGAAACAAAGGCTATTATATAATGATATAAGGTACAAATCACCAAGAAGATATAAAAATTATAAATACGTATAACATTAGAGCTCCCCCCAGAATGAAGTAAACGTTAATAGAAATAAAGAGAGAAGTTGACAGCAGCACAATATCAGTATGAGACTTCAACACCCTAGTTTTACCTACAGATAGAAACAAAAAGATCAATAAGGAAACAGAGGCCTTAAACAACAATATAGGACAACTGTACCTAAGACATGTACAGAACACTCCACCCAATGACAGTAGAAAACACATCCTTCTAGAGCACACATGAAACATTTTCCAGGAAAGACCACACCTTAGGCCACAAAACAAATCTTAACACATTTAAGAAGGTTGAGATCATAAAATGTATCTTCTCCAACCACAATGAAAAGATACTAGAAATAAAGAGCAGAAGGAAAACAGGAAAATCCCCCAAATGAGGAAATTAAACAGCCCATTCTTAAAGAAGCAACGGGTCAAAGAAGAAATCACAAGGAAATTTTAAAAATATTTGAATGAGAATAAAAACGCAACATACTAAAATTTATAACATGCAGTCAAAGCTGTATTAAAACAGAAGTCAAGGACTTCCCTGGCACTTTGGTGGTTAAGACTGTGCTTCCATTGTAGGGGGTGTGGGTTCGATCCCTTGACAGGGAACTAAGATCCCACGTGCTGCATGGCACGGCCTAAAAAAAAAGGTCTACAATGTTAAATGCTTACAATGAAAGAGGGAAAGCAGGACCTCCCTGGCGGTCCAGTGGTTAATATTGCATGCTTCCACTGCAGGGGGCATGAGTTCGATCTCTGGAAGGGGAACTAAGATCCTGTATGGCACACAGCATGGCCAAAAAAATAAAATAAAATAAAATATTTTTAAAAAGGGAAAAGATGTCTACACTGCTGTTCAAGAAAGTACTGAACGTCCTAGCTAGAGCCATTAGACAAGACAAAGAAATCAAAGATATGAAAATTGAAAAAGAAGTTAAAATTGTTTTTTTGCAGGTGACAAGGTTTTATATATACAAAACAAAAAGATTCCACAAAAAAACGACTACTTCAAAAGAAAACTTTACAGAAGTTGCAGCATAAAAACATCAGCACAGGGCTTCCCTTGTGGCGCAGTGGTTGAGAGTCCGCCTGCCGATGCAGGGGACACGGGTTCGTGCCCCGGTCCGGGAGGATCCCACATGCCGCGGAGCAGCTGGGCCCGTGAGCCATCGCCGCTGAGCCTGTGCGTCTGGAGCCTGTGCTCCACAATGGGAGAGGCCACAATGGTGAGAGGCCCGCGTACGGCAAAAAAAAACAAATAACAAACAAAAACATCAGCACAGAAAAATCAGTTGCATTTCTATACCCAATGAACAATATCAAAAAATATTAGAAAACAATGCTATTTACTATAGCATCAAAAGGGATAGAATACTTAGCTAAGGAGGTAAAAGACTCGTACACTGAACACTGCTAAACGTTGCTAAAAGAAATCCATGGAGATACATATAAATTAAAAGATGCCCTGTACTCATGGACTGGAAGACTTATGAATCTTAAAATGACAGTATTACCCAAAGTGTTCTATAAATGCAATAGAATCCCTATTAAAATTTCAATGGCAATTTTTGCAGTCATAGAAAAAATAATGCTAAAATTCATAGGGAATCTCAAGGGACCCCAAGAGCCAAAATACTCTTGGAAAAGAAGATGGAGGCCATCATTTTTAGATTTCAAAACATATTACAGGGCTTCCCTGGTGGCGCAGTGGTTGGGAATCCGCCTGCCGATGCAGGGGACACGGGTTCGTGCCCCGGTCTGGGAGGATCCCACGTGCCGCGGAGCAGCTGGGCCCGTGAGCCATGGCCGCTGGGCCTGCGCGTCCGGAGCCTGTGCTCTGCAGCGGAAGAGGCCACAACAGTGAGAGGCCCGTGTACCGCAAAAGAAAAAACAAAAACATATTACAGAGTAATCAAGATGATGTTGTACTGTCAGAAACGCAGATACATAAAACAATGGAGGAGATAAGAATACCAGAAATACTCCTTGGTATATATGCAAAATGTATTGACATGGATGCCAAGACTGTACAACAGGGAAAGGAGAGTCTCAATAACAAATGGTGCTAAGAAACTAGATATCTACTAACAAAAGAATGAAGCTGGAACACTGCCTGCATCAAAGGTAGAAACTGTGTGTCAAAGGATGCAATCCAAAGAATGAAAAGACAATTTCTGAGGAATGGAGGTGTGAAAGTGATTTAAAGAATTTCCAACTGTCAGAGATTTAGGCTGATTTCATAGTTTAAATTCGATGATGGACTAAAACACATTCTACCACTGACGTCTGTCTCTGAACTGACCATTTCCATCCCCTATTATTAAGATTTTGAAGTCAGCTACATTTAGTTTCAATTGCCTTAGAAAAAGCCAGAACAAATTTCTCCTAATTGGTCTGATATCCAGATTTTACCAGGTATTGTGCATTTTAAGACCTGACTTCTACATGCAGCTTTTTTTTTAATAACATCTTTATTGGAGTATAATTGCTTTACAATGGTGTGTTAGTTTCTATTTTATAACAAAGTGAATCAGCTATACATATACATATATCCCCATATCTCCTCCCTCTTGTGTCTCCCTCCCACCCTCCTACATGCAGCTTCTTTATCCTGGTTTATAGAGAGCGGACACTGCATCCACATGGGACCCCAGAACAATTCCTGCTGCCCAACAGCTCTGACACCACATCTCCAATCCTGCCCAGGACTATGCCCAGTGGAAACCATTGGCTCTCCTCGTCCAGATCACTCTGTCATAGGGAAATGAAATCTAAGTGGAGCTGACAGGGACTGCGGGAAGGCTCTTGATGACTGTGAAAGTACAAGTGTCAACCAGGATACTTCAGAGTCAGACAAGATTAGCGGAGTCCAAAGAAGGGCATTTCAGAAAGAACAGACTGAGAATCAAATGAAAATATGACTTTACCTGAGAAACAGCCATTCCTGACTCCTTTTCTTTCCTCTCCCTCCTCTTCCGGGCTTCTTCCTCAGGCAACATGAGTCTTCAGAGGACAATCTTGAAAGATGAAAACATGCTTAGAATCAAAAGACCCCATTCCTGTACCACAACCATAAACACAAGGAAGATCTCTCCATGTGGAACAGACAGTCCGCTGCCCACTGTCCCAGGAGGGGCTCAGGACAGTAAACTCCCACACAGAGACCAACACAGGAGTTTCCCCACACTTTCTTCAGATCTCGCTCCCCTCCTGGTGAGGCCCTCACGTACCCGGCAGCAGCGGGCACCTCAGCTGGACCCGACGATCCCCCGCAGGTCACAGACCAGCCCTGATCCATCCCCACGCAGAGCAGAGCCCTCACCCTCAGCCCAGATCTCAGCCCTCAGGAATGGGGGGACTCAAAATAACGATGCTCAGTGATGGATACAGAATGGAATCACCTCGGACACTTTAAATACTATTGAGGTTGGACCACATACCAACTATATGAAGGGAAATCTCTGGTCAGAGGGTACAAAACATGTATATACAAAACGCCTCAGCGATCTAATGTGAAGCCTGGGTTGAGCACCACTCAGAGCAGGCAAGCCCAGCACACCTAGCACTTTAGTTTTCTTTTGCAGCTTTACTGAGGTATAGGTGATAAATAACAATGCTGTACATGTGAGGCACACAATGTGATTATCTTACAGATGTATACACTGTGTAATAATTATCACAATAAAGTAATTTACCCTTCCATCAACTCACAATTACCCAAGTGTGTCTGCGTGGTGAGAACATTTAAGTTTTACTCTCTCAGCAAATTCCAACTATATAGTAACACAGTATTAACTACAGTCAGCATACTGTACATTAGATGTCCATGCTGTACTTATTCACTTCACAACTGAACTATTTGTAACCTTTGGCCAACATCTCCCCAACTGCCCTACCACCCAAGTCCTCATAACAACCTTTATACTCTATGGTTCTATGAGTTTGACATTTCTAGTTTCCATAAAAAATGTGTGTCTTCTTCAACCGAAATTATGTCAGAAATAATAACAGTAATGCCAGAATGTCATAATAATAATTTATGGCTGATATAAATTTCTATATACACTCATTTGTCAACAGACATTTTGGTTCTTTCTACATCTAGACTGTTGGGAATAATGCAACAATGCTCACTGGAGTGCAAATATTTCCTTCACTGGAATGATTTTGTTTCCTTTGGATATCTAGTCACAGGTGGGTTTCACAAATTGTGTGCCTGTTCTTTGTTTAATTTATAGGAAACTCCATATCGCTTTCACTAAGAGCTGAACCAATTACATTCCCACCAACAAAGCATAAGGGCTCCCTGTTCTCTATACCGTGTGTGCGTGCATGTGTTTTGTTGAGACAGGTAGGGAGAGGACCGTAGAAGAACCAATACTGGCCTGGGAGCAAGAAGGTAGCAGCTACATTTTCCCAAGGATGTGCCTCTGGAAAGCAGATCACTGTGGTGTTGCTGGTACTCTGATTCTTGGAACAATCTTTCCTACATCAAAGAACTTAATGGTCCTTCTCAAGTTGTGCCCACAGATACATACCTGCCAGAATCTCTCTAATGAACATGTTCTGCCATTTGAAGCTTACTACTCATAATTTCCCTTCTGGGCTCAAGTAAACTTACAAAATCTCATAAATCCAACACAGTCTCCATATGACCCATATTCACTCATCCTGCTATAAAATACCAGAAAACGTTCCAAACTCTAATAAATCATGCCTGATGGCAAAATACATATGAGACACCCAAGGAACCACCAGACACAAAACACCATATTTTTATTCACAGTGGCCACAGACCAAACACTGATCTCATAAAGCTATATATAAAAGAAAGATGTTTCCAAGGATGCACATGCCCCAATGAGAACCTGTAACCAAGAAGGACCCTATGGGAACTTCCCAGAACAGAGCCCCCCCCCCCCCAATGCTCTCTCTCCCTGCCTTTTGTCTGTAGAAAACTTTAGTCAAAGAAAAAATTTAATCATAGAAGTGAGAAAATGCAGAAAGAAAGGAAAACAGTCAAGCAAGACAAAATAAGAATACTTTAGCCATTAAACAACATCAAGGACCTTTAGTTCCTCCTCAAGGACTATAGATAACATTCTGAGCCCTGTCCTTTGAGCTGTTTTGCAGATACTGAAACCCCCACCAGGTGAAGAAAGTTAACTGTCTGCTGCCCATAAGGACGTAGACCCCAGACTGGTTGGAACCAGAAGTTTGATGATGTTGACTCCCAGTTACCTCACCAAGCCATCAGAAGAATGTCCACAAGCTGACCACGCACCCCACAATGGCCCTCCCTCATCCTGTCTTTAAAAGTCTTTGGGGCTTCCCTGGTGGCGCAGTGGTTAAGACTCCTCCTGCCTCGGACTTCCCTGGTGGTCCAGAGGTTAAGACTCTGTGCTCCCAATGCAGGGGATCCAGGTTCAATCCCTGGTCAGGGAACTAGATCCCTCATGCAGCAATAAAAGACCCAGCACAACCAAATAAATAAATAAAGATTTAACAAAAAAAAAGAATCTGCCTGCCAATACAGGGGACACAGGTTTGAGCCCTGGTCCGGGAAGATCCCACATGCTGCAGAGCAACTAAGCCCGTGCACCACAACTACTGAGCCTGTGCTCTAGAGCCTGTGAACCACAACTACTGAGCCCATGAGCCACAATTACTGATGCCCGTGCACCTAGAGCCCGTGCTCTGCAACAAGAGAAGTCACTGCAATGAGAAGCCCACGTGCCACAATGAAGAGTAGCCACTGCTCGCCGCAACCAGAGAAAAGCCCGCACACAGCAACAAAGACCCAACACAGCAAAAAGTAAAATAAATTTAATAAATTAAACAATAAATAAATAAATAAAAGGGCACAGCCCCTCCTCAGGGCTTAAAAAAAAAAAAAAAAGTTCCCAGAAAGCCTTCAGGGAGTTCAGGCCTTTTAAGCACAAGCTACCTGGACTCCTTGCTTGGCACCCTACAATAAACGCTGCACTTTCCTTCACCACAACCTGGTGTCAATAGATTGGCTTCATTGCACGCAAGCAAGGGGACCCAAGTTTGGTTAGGTAACAAACCCAACATCTACCAGGAAAACATTCCAAATTCTCTTTTGTATCTTTCACAGTGGATCTGAAACTTTCTTCATTTGCAATCCCAAATACTAAATAACACTGAAGTATCCTGAATCCATCCTGTGACAGTGGGCAAATGATCTCTGCAATTTTCCCTATATTACTACTCTAAAAACTGCATAATGATTCTTAACCTCCATAACACCCAAGTCACCTGTGGAATAGATGCTGTGGGGCACCCTCTTGAGTCATCATCACCTAAGGACAAGGCACCCATCTTCCTGCACCCAAAGATCCCTGTGCACTCAGCTCAGGCCACACTTTTTTTAACCACAATGGAGGAAAATGTTTCTCTTTGCCTAAATCCACTGTCTTCATTCCTCCTCAGGTAGGATCATGAAATACCCAATTAAACCAATGCATGTAAACCTCAGTGTCAGCAGCTAGGTCCCAGGGAACCTGAGCTAAGACACTATGGCACTGCAAACCATGCAATGCACCCCACAACTACCCATAAACCCAATTCCAGGTGCCCCAGCCAGAACTGAAACACCCTTTGCCAGCAGTTCCACACACCCCACAAGGGACAAATGCAAATACCATTCATTGGGCTCATCTTGAAGCTCCCACTTGCTGCCATATCCCTCCTGCAGACCACTATAGGCTCCCTTCTAATTCCCCATTTTTCTGCCTCTTCTCCATGCACTCATGGGAAAACAGGGCTAAAAGGCATAAGGACTGCTCAGCAAAGGAGTCGCAACAGGAATATTCACAAGCTACCTCCCAAAGAACACTGGGCATTCACTTGACCTTCAGTATGAAGGTCAAAAATTGGCCCCCAGGATTCTTGTCTCCTGTTCTCCACACTCACAGGCAATTTAAAAAATACCCTAGCTGTCTGAGGGGGCGCTCCTTCATGCCCATTAGGCTCTAGACTTCTGCCCCCACTTAGCACACTAAGCGTGTGTGTGCTTACACACACAGAAATCATTACCCGTGATTCTGAGCAGATGAACTGCTGAAAGGCAAAGCTCCTGTCCAAGGTGGCGACTGGTCCCTGGATGTGCACAGCCTGGAACACTGGGGGCTACAGCGGAGCAGTCACACAGCACACTAAACATGGGGACACCTCAGGACACTGCACGAGGACACCAATTCTGTAAGGCTTTTTAGGACTCCCTACATCTTTTGGTTCTTGAGTTATTAAGTAGCCACATGGGGTAAGGATCAATTACAGTTGAAATATTCAAAACAAACATGGGAACCATCCTTATCACCTACCCTGTTCACCTGGTCTTCCCTGAGGATTATTTAGCCCAACCCACAGTCTTAGCATCTAAACACATCCCCAGAGGGAGATGCTGCAGCTATCCCGGAAGGAAGAGAAACTGTACTCCTTCAATGGAGGAAACACAATAAAGACCCCAAACCAATAGAAAATGGCATTTCTTGGGAGGGAGGGGGGGTGGGATGAATTGGGAGACTGGGATTGACATATATACACTAATATATATAAAATTGATAACTAATAAGAACCTGCTGTATAAGAAATACATAAATAAAACAAAATTCAAAAAAAAAGAAAAGAAAATGGCATTTCTGATGATGTTGATTGATACAGAGGCAATAAAACCTGGTCAACGTGACAGAGATTGTCGGGAAGGGATGGAGATACCTCTCTGAGCCTAATCCTGAAGGAGCACAAAGGGCCTGAGCCACTGGGATTTAAAGGCAGAAGGTAAGAATGGGAACTAAGATTTGAGAGAGAAACGGTTTTGGTGTTTGGGAACTTTTGGGGTAAAGTGAACCATGGGAAAAGGGCCAGATCCCACGATGAGGCAGGAGACACTAGCGGGGCCCTGAGGATGTTACAGGGGTGTGTAGCAACAGTGAGGAGTTCGGATTTTGTCCTGAGGACAAATAAGAGCCAGTGAAGGTCTGAGTGCCAGAATTGATATAAACTCTTCAAATTTACACTTAACGCAGAAAAATACATCTGACTATGGTCACTTCCCCTCTGACCCTATGTTCTTGTCTCCATTCTAGCATTTTGCTTTTGTTTTTCATTCTGGGAAGACAGGGACCCATTCAAAATTCTAAATAGAACTGGACACTCCTCTCTAAAAAGAACTGCCACACACAGACACAATTTGGCCAATCATTTCAGGGCTCAGAGTTACCCAGGCTGAGAGTTTCTGGTCTAGTCTCTCATCTCCATGTTACAAGTGGGCTCCCTGAGGCCCAGAGGGGAGACACGTATGAGAAAGTCCAGGTTGAGTGAACAGAATTAGGCGGAACTGAATTCTGAAGTGGGATCCAGAAGGGCCAGTGGGCAGAGTTTGTCCTTATCATCCTTCCAACCTAAAACACCAGGACCATCTTTCATTTGCCTCAGCAAAGGAACCTTCTGTTTCAAGGTCTGATCTGGTACCAAGCATTTAATTCTTCTTTTCCAGAAGACTGCAGTAAAATCTTTTAAACATGCAGATTTGCAAAAATATACCACTGGTGAAGAAAACATTGTTAAGAGTCAGGTTAGAAATCAGCTCTGAGCAAACTTCATCATGAATAGAGGAGCACTGATGGAAGAAGGTTCCAAGTCACTATACCCAATCCTTCAATATCTGTAGAGAACAGACAAGAGGGACCTGAGGGAAGCATCTCCCTATCACTTCACAGCTCGCTATCTTAACAGATCAAATACAATGGAAAAAAACTGAATATTAGACTAACTGGTTAAACTAGGTTTTGACTGTTAATATAAAAGACAATTGACATCTTAACATCATCTTAACTCATCATAACAGTCTAAAATTATTTAATAGTTACCAAAGAATTTTTCCAATACACAAGATAAAGAGGAGACAGGAGGCAGGCCTCAAACAAACCTTAAACACATTTTAAAAAGAAATATTTTGTGAATTTTAAAAAAATTCTGGTGTGAAAGTTAAAAAAACTAAGAATATATCATATTTAGAAAAGAATCACATGAGTTGATTATACAAAACCAGCAAAGCTTATTTCAGAAGTTTATAATTACTTACAGACAAGTAGAAACTTAATGCACCAAGATTTATTCCAAGTTATAAAAAGAATTAAATGTAAAAAAAATGAAAAAGGAAAGAGAAAAAAGTGAATCCATTAGAAAAAAACTCACTTTTAATGTTCCTTCAAAGAGGCACCATGAAAAAAAAAAAAAAAAAAAAGAGGCACCATGGGGCTTCCCTGGTGGCGCAGTGGTTGAGAGTCCGCCTGCCGATACAGGGGACGCAGGTTCGTGCCCCGGTCTGGGAGGATCCCACATGCCAGGGAGCGGTTGGGCCCGTGAGCCATGGCTGCTGGGCCTGCGCGTCCGGAGCCTGTGCTCCGCGGTGGGAGAGGCCACAGCGGTGAGACGCCCGCATACCGCAAAAAAAAAAAAAAGAGGCACCATGCAGTAACAGAGTCAGTCATTTCTTGCCCCACTTCTCTCCCCTGTGCTCTCATGCCAGGAAAAGGAAAGGGGGTGACCCACAGCTGTCTTGAGTCAAGTCACTGCCCCCTGGCTGAATAGGGACTGGAGATGGAAGTTATCTTCTGATACAAATAACTGCAAAATGCACAAACCTTATAAGGAAGTTTTCCAATTCTCACGCTCATCTGTATAATTTAAGCAAACAAATTTTAAATTTACTACATTCTGAAACCACAGATCATACATCACAGCTTAATCATCCACATCCAAACAACTCACCACCACCCACCTGGATCCAGTTTCCGCTCTACCTGCACTACTAGGTGTTTCCATTTCATTCTGTTTATTCGTCTCCCTATATCATCTCGGTCTGTGTCTCTCCTTTTGCTCCCCTCTGCTCTCCTGCTGTTCCTGCCCTCCTCTCTATTTCCTCCCTCACACCTGGCCTGCCCGACTCTGCAACCTGTTCCCCCCCTTGATGCTTTCTTCCCCCACCTCTGCTCCCTCTCTGCCCTCCGGGTTACATCCCTTCTGTCCGTGATACACTCCCTCCCTCCTCACTCTCTGGCACCCCACGTGGCTATGGTTCCTTGGTGTTGTTCTTTCTTCCTCTGCTGTTCTCTCTCCCAGCACCTTGATGCTCTGAAGGCCATGGTCCCACCTCATATACCCTCTGCCCCCGCTCTCTGTGTGAAGGGCCTCATCACTGTTGCCTCCCTTGCTACCGCTGAATCAGGGCCCCTCTGTTTTCCTCTAATCTGTGGCAATCCCTCTGTATAATTCACTTCTTTACTTTATCCACCTGTTACTTGCAAGGTTTAGTCTCTTTCATCTTATTGTCTCTTTACAAGTCCCTAAGCCAATCCTCTACGTCTCTATTGGTTCTCCCTCATTCTTTTCTCATCTCGGTTTTTCTATTGCTCTCTCAGTCGCTCTCTGTCTCAGCTTCTCCTGGTCCCCCTCGCCCACGTATTTACAAGGATGGCGACTGAATAAGATACCCGCCTACCGGAAAAACACATTTTCCAGCGGGGAGACCGAAGAACATTGGGTGTCACACGGCTGGCCAGGTCACCTCCCCCTACACGGGGTGAGGGGAAGGCCTGACTATGAAGGAGAGGCCTACGGAGCAGAAGGACCGGCCTGAGGAGACGCGAGGACAGAGGGGCTGGGAGGGAGGAAGGGGGTCTCAGGAGGGGGGCGGGCTCTCCAGAATCCCGGGACCCGGGAGAGGACGCGAGCTCTCCGGGAGCAGGGCGACCGGCGCTGCCCTCCAGGGTCCGAGAGGGCGAGGCTGCGCAGCCGCGAATCCACCTCGCGGAAGAGGGCCTTACCGGGGGAGGGCGGAGGCAGTAAAGGGCTTTATGAAGGAAAAAGAAGCGAAAGGCGGGGTCTACCTGGACCTAAGGCAGAAAAGCCAAGGGCTCCAGGACCCACCTCAGAGCGATTTCAAACGCAAAGGAAAACACCAGACCTGTGACGGCGACGTCTGGATTTACTGGGGGCGAAGGCCAGGTGCCGGCATTTTAAGTCCATAGTGACTCCCAAAACGCGGAGGGTGAGGTATGGTGGACCACGCAGCACAGATTCACACTAGAAAGGAGAAACTTACCTACTGCAGCGCGTGACTCCCAAGACGCTGAGGGTGGTGTATGGTGGACCACGCAGCACAAATTCACACTAGAAAGGAGAAACTTACCTAACGGAGCGCGAGCTCCACGCCGAGCTCTCGGCTTCCGGTTCCGTTAAGAAACTGCGCACGCGCAGAGTTAGAGGCAGGGCTTCCAGGGACGTGAACGAGTGGAGCGCGACCGCGAAGGGCGGGGCAAGGGAGCTCACAACCTCGCGGAGATCGCCAGGGGCGTAGTAAGGGGCTGAGGTATGTTACTTCCCGGCGCTTTGAAAGTGCCGATTTTAAGTTACTATTGTAAGGTCCGTTGGCCCGGGGGGTAAGAGAAAACATCGACCAGTATGAGGTAGGAGAGACATCGGGACATAACGACCTCACCTGTTCTGGGAATCAACAAGAGACTCTAACTTCCTGCCCAGAAAACAATGTGGCTGACGGGAAGTGGGGCTTACGCCCCACAACAGGCCAACCGACACCTGGCCCTGCTGTATCCTCACCAAATAAGGAATTACCCTGTATAGCAAACCACCCCCTCCCCTTGCAAGCCGCCTTCTGCTTTTACCCCAATAAAAATCACCTTCATCCAGAACCGGGCGCGACTTCTCTGGCCCCTTTCTCTCGGACCAACGAACGTCGCCCGGGAGCGCTCCCTAATAAAGCTCACTTGAAGCTTTCCTCTGTTTCGCGGTGCCGTTTGTTAAGATCCGACCTTACAACTATCATCTAGAAGTTTTATGGTAAAAGCTTTCCAGCTGTGTGAGCCACTGATGTCGTAAAACTAACGTTTCCTCCTAACAAGTTGAAACGGCTTCAATAAAAAGCTGTTTTTCCCAGCAGTTTGCTCGCATGCCGCGTTCCAGAGGCTCAAGCAATTCAGAGGTTGGGAATGTGGGTCTCCGAGTGGTAGCTGTAGGGCAGTGGTTGGATCTGGGAACATTTCCTGCAGTTAGAATTAACTGAAGCAGTTTGAGGAAACAAAACCTAGGTTTGTCTCTGTATTACAAACTAGAATGAGAAATACAAAATTCTTCCTAGGTAGAACGTTCCATTTCATACTGACATCCTACAGAAGCGCTCTTCCGTTTCTATTCCTCATTCAGCCAGGAGACCAAACTCAAAACTCTGCTCAGTTCCAGAGACTCAGGTACAAAACCTGGGGTCTGAGACTGGAGAAGTAAGGCATGTGATAATGCTCCTCACTAACAATTGTTCTGGAAAAGCAATACATTTTTTTAAATTGTTATAAATTGCATTGTTCTTTCTTTCGGCTAAAATGTTTTATTTGCCTTTTAAAACCACCCCCCCTCCTCCCCCAGTTTTATTGAGATGTACTTGACATACATCACTGTATAAGTTTAAGTTGTACAGCATAATGTTCTTACATATATTGAAATAATTACCAAAATAAGGCTAGTGAGTATCCCATCATCTCAAATACATGCAATAAAAAGACTATATATATATATATATATATATATATATATATATTATTAGAACTGCATTATTGGTACTTCCTTGGTGGTCCAGTGGTAAAGAATCCGCCTTACAAGGCAGGGGACGCCGATTCGATCCCTGGTCAGGGATCTAAGATCCCACTTGCCGCGGGGCAACTAAGCCCACGCGCCACAACTACTGAGCTGGTGCACTTCAACTAGAGAGCCTGCGTGCCACAAACTACAGAGGCCACACGCCCTGGAGCCTTCGCACCACAACTAGAGAAGAGAAAACAACCCACACGTCACAGCTAGAGGGATGCCTGCGTGCTGCACCAAAGAGCCCGCGCGCCGCGATGAAATATCCTGCAAGCCTCAACGAAGATCCCGAGTGCTGCAACTAAGACCGGACGCAGCCAAAAATAAATTAAATAAATAAATCTTAAAAAAAAAAAAACTGCATTATTCATTAAAATACCTGCTCTATTCCACACTTGTTTTGTTGTTGTTGTTGTTTTAATTTTTGGCCACTCCCAAGGGTATGTGGGATCTTAGTTCCCTGACAAGGGATCAAACCCAAGCCCCCTGCACTGGAAGTGTGGAGTCTTAACCACTGGACCGCCAGGGAAATCCTATTCCACACTTTTGTGAGTTACCTTTAAATATCTTTCAGAAAAACTTATTTATGAAATTATAGTTAAGTATATAATAAACAATGTAATTTCAAACTGACTATATGTTCATTATGAGGGTAATTAGAAAGTTTCACTTTCTATATTCAAATTGTAATATATTTTAGCTCTTTGTTTTTTTATTTCGAAAAGTTCTGTCAAGTGTGGATAAAAGAGCCTATAAAATATACAGCCTTTAGAAGACATTGGGATTTATTTCCATCTAAAGAATAATTAAGTTGCAATATTTCTAAGGGTATTTAGTAAGGAGAATGTCCTGGTGTAGCACATATATAAATACAAGAAGATATATCATATTTTAAAAGTTGCAGTGACTCATTTTGTGAACCCTATTAGGTAGATTACTCTGTATTATACAATATTTCTAACTAGCCATGTTGGCAAAAAAGCCATTTCAGCATGGACTTCCATGATTCCAAGCAAAGAAATGAGTCGATAGTGGAACTTTTCATTAAACACAGAAGAATAGAGGAGAAGCCAATTATAGGGGAAAGTCATTTTTTGAATGGAGAGTTTTGTTGCAGGAAGATAAATATATTCACAAGGGGAAAAAAAAACCCTAAATTTCCTAAATCACAGGAAGATTTTGATATGTCTCCCTGTATTTCATTACGAAACAGATGCAAACAATTCAAAAATGTAAAAAACACAAGGATATAGTTTGAGACACACACACAAACCCTGCCCTAGAAAATTAAAAAATACACATTTTTGAGTTCAGATGGAATGACTGAAATATTTACCACTGTCAGACTTAGGTAGGGACAGGTTTTATTCCAAATGATTATTACAATATAGAGAATGCTCCAGCCATAAAATCTGTAAAGCCTTAAAATTCAGACCAGAAAAGAACTTTTTTTTTACACCAAGAGGTCAACAAGTGGGAAAACTCCCATATGGTGGAGTGGATGACCAGGTGGCACAAGCTTACATACCTGGGGGATGTTTTACACTAAAGTCACCTATGCTTGGTTAAGTTCCGGCAGTGCTGTTGTTCTGAATTACCATGCTTAAAAGGGGTTCAAAACATAGGCCCCCTGGGAGAGGAGAAAAGCATAAGTAACTTTTGATTAGATCATGGTAACTGCCATTATATCCAGAGGTAACTGAAGACAAACAATAAGGCAATGGATGGGAATTTGGAGGATTCTCATCTGGCTGGTTTCTAAGTAAACAAGGGGGCTATCAGGAGTCTTACTGAAATTAACGGGGAAGTGTACTTCTTAGCAAATAAACTGTTTCCTTCCACGCAAAAGAAGAAAGGGAGGTCTTTAACCTTCAATATTTTCCAGAGTTACAGACTTGGAGTAAAGTCTAACATTGTCTCTACATAATATGATATCAAGCAAAATTCAAAACATAATAAATACACGTTATATTTGAAAAATGGAATATTAGAAATTTAAACCGATAATGATAATAAAAAACTTGCCCAGGAACCTCAGCATTTGAGTTTGGATGGTATTGAAGGACCCTGTATGCTCATTGGGCCTCTGCTGTGTCTGTCCCTGTCACGTGCAAGAGAAATCATTGTGTTGAAAGATGTTGCTCTAAATCATCAAGTCAGAGGTCTGTGAACTATAAACTGAATAAAAAACCCTAGAGGTTATTTTAAGACCAAAATTGTTATAACTCTATTTCTGTTTTGTAGGTAAGTTCATTTGTACACTTTTTTTTAGATTCCACATATAAGCGATATCATATGATACTTGTCTTTCTCTGTCTGACTTCACTCAGTATGACAATCTCTAGGTCCATCCATGTTGCTGCAAATGGCATTATTTCATTCTTTTTATGGCTGAGTAATATTCCATTGTATATATGTGCCACATCTTCCATATCCACTCCTCTGTTGATGGACACTTAGGTTGCTTCCATGTCCTGCCTGTTGTAAATAGTGCTGCAATGAACACTGGGGTGCATGTGTCTTTTCGAATTATGGTGTTTCAACTCTTTTTTCTAAAAGTCCCCAGGCAAGGTACCACTGCTGGGGAGGGGATGCTTTCCTCCCTCCACAGAGCACCTCCTGGTCCGTGCTGGGCTGGTTCTAGGCACGGGAACTGGCTTCAAAGTTTCACCACATGCTGCCTAAGTCCGCCGGAGCACGTTGAAGAATTTTCACCATCATCTTCGGTCAATATCACACCCTTTGCACATGAGCAAGTTGAGTACCTCCCCTGACCCCGGCTGTCACCACAACAAAGAGACATCAATAAATGAAACTAATAAAAATACGGTAATATATGAAGGAAAGCAAAAAACAAAAATCAGCCCGCCTCAGGCTCCTCCAAGTCAAGCAACAATGAGTTCACAGGAGCCGGATGGCAAGTGTAGCAGTTCATGACCAAGAATTTCCCTTGTCTCTGGTGGAGCTGCAGCACCAATGGAGGATGAAAGAACACATTTATTTTACATATGGATGGAGAAAGTGATAAGTTATGGACAAGAAAATTTCCTATGAGAGTTCAAATAATAAATAAACTTTTGTATTCCCATAGAACTCTTCAAAGAGGGGAGAGATTCTCAAACACTATTAATAAGGAGGCTTCCCGTCAGCCCTTCTGAGATCTGACCTGTGTTCACACTTCAGTACATCCCCAAAGGTATTCACCTCACTGTCTACAGCCTAGGGCTCTTTCTCTTGCTACAAAGTGGGTAAAATATTCAGATGAAACGCAGAAATTCTTCCACGTAGGAAAAAAGAAACATGATTTGCTGTGGCTTTTCCTGAAAACTAGTTCTTTGTTCACCTGAGGATTGAGGACATTACCAATGGGTCTAGAAAAATATTTCAAAAATTCACCCGCTGCTTGCCTCCTTCTGAATACACAGAGAACAGTATAATATGCAGAAATGAAGCTCTTTTCCTAGAACTCCTAAATCGAAAGCACATGGGTAGAAAACAGGAAAGTGGGTATGTTAAAAGTGTGCCATTGAGCTTTATAAATAAACTGCTCATTTGCAGAAGACATCTGACTATTGTCTCTCTTACTCTGACCCCCCCATTCCTGCCTCCATCCTAGCATTTTTGTTTTTCTTTTTCAGTTTTGAGGACTGAGACCCATTTTAAATACTAAGTACAGTTAGATACTCTCTCCAAAAAGAACTGCCACACACAGAAACACAGCCAATCTGGCCAATCATTT